GGCAATAACCCCACCCATTTGTCTGCCTCACAAAACTACTACCAGTCTACATGGTTAGTTAGTCCTCCAAAATTCATAACCAAATCAAATACAGTATGTTCACAGTATATAGCTTATATATACCACTCCCCATCAGAGTAATTAATGTTTTTAATCTCTGAAACTATATCAAGGTACACCCTATCACAGAATGTTTTAGGAACATATAATATATATATATATATTTCAAAAACCTGATCTGTTGGACTCTTACTATTAAAAATAATAAGGATGCATCTTCCGTTTATAGAGTAAGAGAGGTGTTTAAATTTATTACAAATTTCTGTCGTTATAGTACAGTCCTCCGATCAATTAAACCACTTATTGCCAGTATAATTTATAAAAATTACAATAAATGAAATAAAATAAAGTAAAACAAGAGCACACAACCTCACAAGCATCCATCTTTTCCTCATTGTGAACCACCATCTCCTATTGAAACATGAGCATATATTCTCATCGTTTTTGTATTTCCAGTATCTTCTCCTATTAAAGATGTCTGGGCGAAAAGTTGAGCCATACATCTCAACAAGAAGATGAGCTTGCAGCAATAAAAATAAAGTGACAGGAATACTGGCAATCAATGTTAGTGAGATTAAGATGCAAACCTCCTTTTTACCCTGTAGCATAATGACAAGAGTAGCGCAAAATGCTACCATCATTGCTGCAATGGAGATGAAGAGCGAAGAAAGGCCAATAATCAACTTCTTGGGTAAGGATATATGGAAATCTTGACAAGTATAACGAGAAGTGAGAATCCCCAAAAACATTAACACTGAACTGGATGCAGCAAAAAGAGAAATTGCATCTGATACTCCAAATACTTTGAACAGTGTTGCAAACGATACTTCAGAAGGATGGGTCATCGTTGTGTTCAAAATAATGGGGAAGCCAGTCCCTTCGTTGTTTCCACCAGGAACAGTAAAAGCTACAGTAAACATAGTGGTAATAACAAGAGCACCTACGACTGTACAAGATTCTGCCACCTTTTTCATCCATTTTTCGGCTTCTTTTAGCAAATTCCTGTGTTCTCTAAGAAATACTTGGGTAGGAGTTTCACCATCTTTATTTTTCATGTTGTAGAACCGTGGAACAATGCCTTCAACCGACTGCATGTGTTTCATAAATTATGGATATTAATTGAGAAACTATTAATTAATTTGAAATAACAAACAAAGTTAAAAATGAGATTACCTTGAACCAGTGTAGTTCATTTTGCAACTGTAAAACTGCACCGGAGATGTGATCTAGTTGAGAATGAGAAGCTAATCGTGCAGCTATATGTAATATATTGTTCCCATCTTCATCGGTGACAGTAACCATATTGGTATCCATCATTTCATCAAATTCATCATAAAGAAAGCGTGCGACTTTCTCTTGACGATGTGCTACAGCATGTGCAAACATGTTTCTTGAATCCTCGGGATCTGTTCTCCTCAATAATATATTATCATTACGGTTTTTTAATAATTCAATTGCAATCTCAGGGATGTCATTCTCGATAGCCCGATAGCTTGCTTCCACTGCTCCACTTTGCTCAAATTGGTTCTCATCTAACTCTGATAATGACCCACATATGGAACGTATAACCTCAAGGGCATACTCATCCATCAACTTCCGCTTATAATTTTGAATTACTGACAATAAAAAAAAACCTTATATTTGCTTTCTTTTCTACAAAGAATAATCAAGATATAACACAAAAATGAAGGAAAAAAATTTAGAGAGAGAGAAAGGTTCACTGTGCACGTTGTTGCTTACCATAACTCAGTACAGGCATTGAAAACAGTAAAAATAGCGAAAAGAAGATAACTGCAATAAGGTAGGGAAAAAAATGAGTACTGCAAGGTGGTTGTACTGGGGCCATGTTCCTTAGATATTAAGTTTCAATAGCTTCTGATGTACCAAAAAAATAAGGTAGGGAAAAAAATGAGTACTACAATTATATTCAAAATTTAGAAAAATGAGTTCCATAATTGCAATACTTTATTGCCCAAAAATATCACATTTAACTATAAAGGTTAAGTCCCTAGCATAAAAAGATTAAGAGGTTAAGGAAGTGTTTAAAAACATTATTTACATATAGTTAATAATTAATAATTAATAATTAATAATTAATCATTTTTATTATTTATAATTTAAAATATTTAATTCATTTGATAAAAAGCAAACAAGCGTTTGCCCCTTCGTTCCTAAACTTCTGTGCGGAGATCCTTCTTACTACCTTAACTGAGAAATTTCCCTTTTATCCTTCAAGATTATGTTTTCCTCCTTTTTGGTCCGTTCATTATTAAGTTTGTTATCATGTGGTTAATTGACAAATCATCTCTTTTCTTCTCTCTCT